TCGTCGCGACTGAATCGCGACGAGACAACTGTTACAATATCATTCCATGCCAATCAACTTGCATTTCGGTTGTGATACTTTTCCAGCCCGAAATTTTTGAATGTGAAATGAAATTGAATGGAAATGTCGGCGATTGAGTCGCGACAATCAAATCGCGTGAAGTCTGTCCGGGGCCTTAGAGGAGTAAAAGAATGCACATACCCTTTTCTGAACTTCTTCGTAAGGAATGGAGGCCTGTGCCCCCTGTTCTGAATATGTAGAGATGATATTTGTGGAAAAAGGTATGATTGTCAAAAAATACTGAAGAGGCCTAGGTCTTTGAACTTATGGGTGCGAAAGGCTCTATCTATAGTCATCATTTTTTTTCAATCATCGCGACTATTATACTTACAAATCTACAAAGAATTCTTGAAAATATTAGCATAATGCCAAGTATACTCATTTGAAAACTTATACGATCACTATATCTTGCTAAATATAAACTGAATATGGCTCACGAACTCCGATGTTCTTTGCAGGCTTGCAAATCGTACCGCTTGAATGTTTTCTGATGCCTTAGCGTTCCGAATTCGATGAGTTTTTGTGATGCAACCGCATTTAAGACAAAGGCTCTGGTCAGTTTGCCTGTAATTAAATTTGCAGGCACATGGCCAGGGGGCTGAACGCAAGTGCAAGGTTTTTTCTTGCACTGCCTTATCTAGGATCCCTGCTAACTGAGATCATTGATTCAGTTACATATACATTTTGCTTTACCTAATTTCAATCATGTTGGCCTTCAACCTTTTAGTCAGGGCTCGGCAGGAGGTGGCTTTTGGAAAATGCGAAAAACGAAGTCCTCCTCGACTTTCGCGAATTTTTACAAAGTACCCTTTGACCTTAAACCCTAAAAAATACCCTCAAAAACCAAACGTCGACAAACTTCACAACTTTTTGACCACAAAAACGATATTTCCTTTGCTTTTTGTCCCAAAAACGATATCCAGCTTGCCTACAAGCCACCTGCCCTTGTCGAGCCTTAGATCTAGCTCGATTTTGTTTGAAAAAAACAAAAAAATGTGAAGAAACTTTCGCATTCATTCGACCAAAACTTGAAATCTTTGAAAGTTTTTTTGACAAATGGAGCAGGAACAAGAGTATCAAATAATTTTATCGAGTAAATAAGTTTTTTAAAAATACCTCTGATTTCAAAAAAAAACGCCAAATAGTTTGGCTTTGATCTTTACCAAAGTATAATTTTATTGAAGCACTTACTAAGAAATAAAGAATCGTAATACGGAAATATCTCCTCATAAGTCTCTTCTAAACAAATATTAGAATAAAAAAAAGTCTTGTACCATTCAGCACCCATGTATTGTTTGAGACTTTCCAACATATTTGAGGTAAAAAATTGACATATAGCAACTGCTTGTTTCAAGGTGATGATATGATGCATGAGCTAGAACCTTTTCATCGAAAAAAATATTACATTTTTGACTTGGAAGCGGAAAACGCACTGGCCATTATTTCAACTGCAACTATAGCTGACACGGTAAATAATTCCCTCAGTGATCTGTTACCAGCCTTAGCTGCTTTTTATGCTTTTATTTTGGAAGCTTTGACCAATCTTTTCCTTTATATCAGGTCCTTATTTCTTTATCATTAGTTTAGATGCACCACATATGATGCATTATGGACGTTTTTGAAAAGAGCAGATTAAGATCCTGTAAATTTATAGGATTTAACCCCGAATGTCTTGCTAATGACCTTGTAATGCTCAAGAAGTAAATGACATATACTTTCTACTGATACACAATATTTACAGTTAAATCAAATTTCCTATCCGCTCTGTTACGTGTTGGGAAACTTTGTCAGTGAAGTACTGTAATTTCCAGATGTCTAAAAAGGTTCCCGTATTTGTGCAGGGCTTTTGCGTCACAAATGCACTAGGTCAAAAAGTCTCTCAATGTCTGAAGTGGGATTCAAAATGAAGCCTCAAACCGATGCTTGCAAAAAATTGCAAAAAAGCAGTTCTGTGGTCTCTAATTCAGTCAAATTTTTTCAGCTTTAAACAGTGCTGCAAAAGCATTGCCTAATGTATATTATTTGTAAGTAGAAACAGTAATAGGATATCGGTTAAAGATTAAGCCATCGTTGTTTGTTACCGCATTGAATGTGTTCCTACTGTACACAGAGGTTAAGATATTTGAAAATGTACCCTTTGTTTTAAGTGGCTTGGCGAGCTAGATAATGAACAGAGAGCACGCGCGCGAAAGAGACGCAGACTGCATCGCGGGCGCGAGCGGCATTAACTAGGTCACAAAGCCCCGCCTTCCAGCCGCCAAGCCAGTTGAATCAAAGGTCAAACGTCATTATCGAAAGAACATAGGGTTACATAAAATATCAAGACGACTAAGAATCTTTCCATCCTTTTCAGATGAGAAATAAACTGTACAAACTTTATTGAGTAATCTGCGACTGGCTATTCAAATGTGTAGAAAATGTTTGAACCCAAGAAACTTTGAAACTTGAAATCAAAAACTTTACTGAAAACCAAACCCTAAGAACATTCAGACCAATCAAACTGCTCACAGAATTAATTTTTGAACAAATTCTGCCGATTAAAGAATGTTACCCTAAGCGATCTTTAACTTCTTGACAACTTTTTCACTCTCAGAAAAGTATTCTCCTTCTCTCAACGGTTCGAAAGTTCATCGAGTCCAGTGTGTCCTGTGCGGAATCATGCAGCCAATAAAGTGCGCACTCATCAAAGGGACACTTCTTAATTAGTACTTTCTCTGCAGCCGACACCTCCGCTTGCGAATGGATAAAAACTCAGGAATATTTGACAAACTTCGAAGCACGAAAACCTCAGTTGCGTGCTGCATTTGCAGGTGACATCGAATTTTTTCTTATGTTTGGTTAGCTATGTGAATTTTGATCATTTCTTGAAGTCTATAGCGCTCAAAACTACGGTAATCTGGTTTTATTTGACATTCAAATCTACCATTGAGAAAACAACCGCTCTATTAGCGATTAATAGAAAATTCAAACGTTTTTCCGAAGTACATAACGAATTCAAAAGCTAAACTTCATAGTGAAATCTAAAAGTTCCGGAAAATCATTCGCAAAAAATTTCAAAACCTTAAAAACATAAAAAGCTAATTTTTTACTTCTTCCTTATTTTCTTTTATACATGCAACCCAAGTCAATGAATGTTTGTTATTTCCTTATTAAGCCACAGAGATCTCATTTTACACATTTTTCTCACTAGAAGATTTTTTATCCATTTTTTATACGGAAGAGATTGATTGCAAATGCAACGCTCTCCCTTTAGCATATCCACGGATATAGATTGTCACTATAAATATACAATATCAATTTTCAATTATCCTTGTGCAAACAGAACAAAAACAAGAGAAACGCTGATACGCTAATCAAACAGTATAATAATACAATAACACATTGCAATTTGTTATTATTGAGATCGGCAAGTAATGGGCACGAACAATGTTTTCGAATTATGAAAAACCTCTTAATGCCTTTGCGCGTAAGTTTGATGTTAATTGAATCAAAGGAGGATCAATTAGAATCATATGACATTAGCGATTTCATCTTAAAAATTTAGAAAAAAATCTTAACACTTTGCAAGCTTAGAGGCGCTAAAACTCGGTGTTTTTGAAAACTGTAGCCGTGAAAATCTTTCATTTCTTGTTACAAAAGTTCCTGTTCCTTCTCAGCTTTGCAGTGTTGCTATAGACATCTAACAATGAGAACGCTTTTCTTGCTCTATCTGTGATTATTGAATTTCGGTAGAATTCTAGCCGCTGGGAAATTTTAAAATAAACGGGGACTGCCGAAATTATGTTTTTCTCAAAGAATCCTTCCTTATTTCGATTTGTTCGAAAAAAATTTTATGCAGAAACTGTATTAACTCGCTTCCCCAAAATACCTATCCTTCAATGTTCTAAGGACTTACTGATTACTGTCAAACATATGGACAGGCTTGATAGAATTTTGCTTCAAAAATTCTCGCTTCTTCGTTATCTGCGTTCCTTGGATTGCGTCCCAACGATAACAAAAAATTCAGTCAGAATCAGGATCCTAAAAAATGTCAGTTCTTTAATTTACAACTCAAGTACGAGCAGCTGCAAAAGGAACGTTTTAGAAAAGTAGTATTCACAAAATGTGAGAAATTTAGAATTATCTTTCTTCTAGGCTACTTTTTTTATTCAAACGACTTTGAATTTTCTGTGTTAGTTAGTCGAGTTCACCTCATCGAAAGCCTCACAGTTTGTAGCAGAGAAATTTGAGTGTTACGACTTTTTTCTAGGAAATAGAGGATTCACAAAAAGAGATTTCGTAAATCATTGTAATGTGCTTCATCTCTGACGGACTTCCTCGTGACAGCATCATTTTTCTGCACAAAGCGTCCCCGGACCACCCTCTCTCACAAGATTTACGATTCATCATTTTGTGCTTTTATCTCATTGTACTTTCCAAGCAATAGTCTGCCTATCAGGCATAATTGGCTGGGAAGTTTGGAGTATAGAAGAGAAAAACGAGAAATCAATTTTCTTTTTCCCTCTTTCCCAATTTTCCCAAAAACCAGTGCAAGTGCACGTTGGGTGCAGACTCCACAGGCTTGAGTACAACTCATCCGATCGCTTCTTGCTGCATAATGGAAGTTTCCGAACAGAAAGTCGGGGGGGGGGGGAGAGGGGGTATAGAGGGGCCCAGAGTCTCGTGCATGGATTTCTATGTGTGTATGTGTGTGTGTGCATATTCTACCACGCATCTTCGTGCAATCTGGCTGATTAAGCATTGTTGCGCGGACTCATTTTCGCCTTGCTCGTTTGACTTTCATTAAAAGCTCTCCATTGCACCGTGCTGACAACGTTGTCGTCCGTCGGACGACACGGGGCTGGGGGGGGGGGGGTCTAGACGTCGATTTGATCTCTCTTCCGTCGCGTTTCTTCTCCTATTGCACATCGTTCCGACACTTCCGCGCACAACTCGTAAATCCTCACTTCCTCTTACAATTGTCGTCGTCTGCTTTCAGGATGATAATCACCGGCGATCTCGACTACGACGTTCGTGTTTGGGCAGCAAAGAATATAGTAAGTCAAAGCACTTAAGTGAAAATTTCATGCATTTCTTCGACCTCTTACTTCTTTTTTTATTCTAATTCTCTAATCACTACTGTTAGACAGTTGTGTTAAGATTTTAGGCAAGGCGAATGTTAGGTTGATGGATACCTAGTTAAACCAATACCCTGACTTGAAACGCTCCGATTATCCTTGAGCGATAGCAGTCCCACTGTTATTCACCTGGCATCCACTCCTATATGTAGTCGTATAATTTACTCGCATCTGGACGTATCTTTTTTCGTATGTTATGGGTACACTATCCCGTACTTTCTTTTGCTTACTTCATTAAAGTACAAGTGCTTCCTTTGTTGTTCTTTGAATCCCTAGGACGATTGACCCCTTCTAACAGTATTTCATAGTTTAAATGGTGCACCTTGATTGTAAAGAGAAAGATAAAGACAAAGATGTCATTATAGCAGCTCTCGAAAAATGCAAAAATCATAATCCCAGACACTTGACCGGAAGTTTCGTTAGACATTCAAGGAACGAAACTTCCGCAGCTTTTTGCGGAAAGTTTGCGGAAGATCCGTTTTTATTCAGTCTGGCGCCGGACTCCTGCGAAAGCTCCCACCTTCGATAGTAGAACTTTTGTGACAGTAAACAAAACCCTGTGGAACCGCTGCAAGCCTTTGTCCTGTGGAAATTCCTCTGGGTTGTCCGAGCGTAAAGAAATCTCTTTGTACAAGTCTTTGGCTAAAAAGAGTAGGAGAATGGGTTGAAAAAAATCAGAATTGAGCTTAGTTTTTTTTGTATAGTTTGGAACTTTTAACGACTGATGAAAAAAATGTTTTTGTTATCATCTACTGTCGCTCGAACAACAACGATTTTTGCTACTTCTATGCGCATGATTCTCTTTCCTGGTAAAAACAAAAATAATAAATTACTTGTTAATGGAAGAAATTACAATTTTTCGAAGACTTTGGGCGTTTTTGGCCGACTCAAGGTAAATTTTTGACAATCTTCTACATCTTCTTTGTAAATAATCTACTGAACTCGTGAATGAATGAAAAGAGATCTTTTCGGCTAAACTCAATCGAATAAGAAATAATGAGTCGATGCACTCTTTCTCAAGCCATAAAAAATTTTCTCAACTTACTGTTAATGTGCCGTATGTAGTAAGCAGATGCATCCACATAGGAATTACTGTTTCGCTTTTTTAACATTCACCTATCTTCGAAGAATTAGTGTGAAGAGAAATACACCATCAATTTATGGAGCGAACTCCTGGTACTCCCTTAAAAAAGCTGCTGAAGGGTAGTGTCAGCCGTTGTAGTTTCCAAGTCCGGTTTTCATAAAGGCCCATGATAAACCGCCCGTCATGAAACTTGGCTACGGTGGGCCTAAATTGAACTTTAGGCGTCCCAGCGCAGTATGAATAGTGCCATCCACCTTCTCAGACAATCGCCGGGGGCAGGCGGGCACCGGAAAAATAGATTGCTGATCTCTCGCACCCCGCTCGCGGATTTTTTGGAAAGCAATCAGGACGCTTCGGAAGACCGCTTGCTGAGTTCTCGATTCCTCAGAGATTCAGCAATATATCTGCAAAAGATAAGTGCGAAAAAAAAAATTCAACAGGCGGTCTCTCAAAAATCCGCTGACTCAGCAAGCGGTCTTCCGAAAAGTCCTGATTGCTTTGCAAAAAATCCGCGAGCGGGGTGCGAGAAATCAGCAATCTATTTTTTCGGTGCCCGCCTGCCCCCAGCGATTGTCTGAGTTCGTGCAGATCGCTATGTAAGGAAACTAATCGTATGCTTTTTTGAAGAAAATGCTTTCTTGCAGAGCCCAAATGGTGATTTAATGTGTTTCCAGCAAGAAGGTAACGGTTTGAGATCCCACTGTGACGTTACTTGCTATGCCGCGGGCAATCTCTTATAGCGACTACTATCAAAAAATCGATGATGACCGCTATCAAAAGCCTACGTCAAACTTACGGAAGGCACGGTAAACTGACGGCGGCATTTGACCCAGGCCTTCTGACAGTTGAACTTGCCATCGTCAAGTATGGAGGGCGGGCGGTTGTAAGTTAGGCTTACAAATTTCTTCTGAGGGGAGTCACAAGGAAACGATACTTAGTGCCCGTGGCCTTTTGTGGTGAAATGTATACCGTGTACACTACATAATGTACTCTCGTCTTAGAACGCTGATTTCGAACCTGACTTCCGTTTCTGCTAACCGATTATCTAAAAGAAGTTACGAAGAATTCTCGCGCCAAATTTGGCCGCCCGAGGGAAATAGATAGGCAGACCAACACTGCCGGTACTGTGATGTAGGTTGGTGCGATAGCCTCACAAGTTGATGCGGTGTAGGTTTGAATCCTTTTTTGTTTTTCAGTTTTGCATTTCAAGCTTCTTCTGGAATAGGCATCCTCGAGGTGAATGCATGCCCTAACTTTTCATAAAAAGGTGCTATTTACGCTAAATGTGTCCATTGATCACAATTTGATAAATCTTGAACAAAGCGACAATATTAACAATTTCAAACCACGTAGAATACTGCTCTTTGCGTGAATTGCTAGGTCAGTGCGAGAAACCAATTGCGACGAGTTGTTCTTTATCCGGTGTGTTCATTGTGAGCAACTTCTCTGATTACTCCATTCGTTATAGATTTCCTTTACTGCGGTTAACATGTATTTTTTCGTTTATTCTCATTTTTGTAGGTATAAAAATAATTCTTCGTTGAATTTTCAAAGAGCAAGGGCACGCATTTATTTTGAGGATGCCTAACTTTCAAAAAGAAGCTTAATTGAGGCATTGCGAAACTGAAAGATACAAAGGGATTCAAACATACACCTACATCAACTTGTGAGGGCTATCGCCTTTATTACTAACCTTTGATTCAACTGGCTTGGCTCCGGGAAAGCGGAGCTTTGTGACTGGATTAAAGCCGCTCGCGCCCGCGACGCTCCTGCGTCTCCCCCGCGCGAGTGCTCTCTGATCACTACCTAGCTTTATTAAGGTCACGAATCCCCGCCTTGTCGAAGATAAGCCAGTTGAGTCAAATGGTACACAACAGCGTACCGGCGGTGGTGAGATGCCTATCGTACTTGGCGCAAAATAACTCATAATTTCTTTCAGAAAAAGCTTAGCAGAAACGGAAGTCAGATTCGGAATCAGCGTTACAAGACGAGTGTAATGGTATACACTTCTTTCAAAAGGCCATGGACACTGAGTATCTTCCCTTGTCAGTGCAGTTGAACTCAGCTGACGGGAGGGGGACGAGGGGGGGGGGGGGGGAGGTTTACCACGATAGGTGATCTTTATTCTTTCAATACGACTCAGCACATCTAGTGTGTTGGAATCAAAGGCAACGCTTTGAACCTTTGGGACCCTGGAGACACGAGGTCGTAAAAACTTTGGGACATATTTAAAGAATAAAGTCAACTTACCAGTTTTGTTTTAGAAGTCGTGTTTGTTTCTCTGCTTTTTTTGTTTTCTTCGCTTTGATACGGTTCACCGCCATTCTTGCAGCAACCTTCTTCAATTACGAACTTGTACTGTATTTCAGAAATCTCTCTGAAAGTCAGTAATTCATCAAAAGGATAAAGAATTGGTCTTCCATAGCCTCTGCGGGCTTGGGCCAAACGCATTCTACTTAACAATCGAAAAGGCTACTGAATGCGTGCGAGCCTTTACAATGACTTGCGGGGCCAGCCGATAATCAAGCCTGCTTTTACCTCCAGAATACTCTGATACCAATTTCTCGGCCTCGGAGAGTGGAGCTTGGTTGGCCCAGAGGCGGAATAGGACTTGGGTTCATTCTGGTCATAGCGACCCATACCACTACGCCACTTCCCCCAGTGTTTCATTGAAATCAACAAACTCAAGCATGAAAATTACAAAAAGCAACAGGAACATGTTTAGTTCGTAAATGGCTCGTGTCCGGAGATTTACAAACCGTTGATTGTGGGAGGAATGAGCACATTCTACATGTACGTGTTCCCGGTGCAGTTCTTCCTTGGTGTCATCGGAAATGCGCTCAATCTTTGCGTTCTACTCAGTCGTCACATGCGAAGCGAAGTATGCCCCAGATTTCCTTAGTACTGGAACATTTCAAGCTAATATGATTCAGGCGAATTACCTCCTGTCAGCGCTGGCCATAGCTGACATCTTGCTATTTTTGACTATGCTTCCATCTGCACTAGGCGTTTGGCCATCTTTTTACACCAATGACTACTTCAGGTGAGGATGTTTTTGCTTAGATTTAGCTTTGAAAGTATCCAATTGAGCTTTTTAGAAGATTTTACTACCACTCGCATACTGTACGTCACTGGTTCTCTAATGTATTCTCATGCATGACATGCTGGTTGATATTAGCCGTATCAGTTGAAAGGTGCTTACAGTATTTTGAACAGTAAGAAAAATCATAATGATAAAAAATGACAAATTACAAGAGTGGCAATCTGTTTCTATAGGCGAATACCTTGACTTTGCGCAACATCTCATGTTCTTGTGATCCAAAATGATGGCAGAGTAATATTCACAATTTTGTTGTGCTCTATCCATTTGCGCTATCTCTCATGTCTGAGATTTTTGCTATGTCTGTACTGTACGCCTTTTGATTTTTTCTCAAGAAACGGTTTTTAGCTCTGCCAGTAATGGCGAGCCTTTAGAGAAAACAGAGCTTCATTTTCTTATATCGCATTCGCTCAGAAATTAGTAGGATGTGGAAGGCAATTCTTGCAAGAACTGGTGGTGCGGAAGTGGCGATATCACTTGTTTCGGTCACAGGAAATAAGAAGCCAAGTTTTCATGGCGTGTCATTAGAGCGCTTAAACTTTTCCGATTGTAAAAAAGTACCTTTTATAAAAAGAATAAAGTTTGAATTCCAGTAGCTCGGAGCGTGTATGCACATAGCAGTTTATTATTGCCAATAAGGTTTAGGACGGCGCTTCATGTACATCACCTTTTATATAGCACAAGTCAACGAGACCCACTAATTTCATAAATTACATATATCCTTCCAGATACATGGGTATCTCATCACCAATGCATAATCGAAGTGAATGGAGACATTCGCGAGTCAGCTACTTGATGTTTGTGGTGATCATTGGAAGTCTTTTACTTACTGCTTTTCATCATTTCGAGTACAAATACGGCTATGCCACTATGTGCAACGGAACCCTCACCTATGCAAAGCTAGTGCCAATTGAACGTGTTAGTTTCAATGAAGTTTTATAATTTTCTTCTGATTCAACAGGGAAACTTTCAGCTTGTACCCTACATCTCGACCCTCCAAGTGCGCGTGGTAACAGTGCTGAAGATGTTGCAAATAATACTTGTCGTTATACTGCCGTTGATTGGCATCGTTGTTCTCAACTTGAGAATAATATTGGTGTTGAGACGAAGCAGTGTGTTAGTTACCAGATCGGCCAAAAACAGCACCGATGACCCAAATGATGAATTCTTGCGGTGAGGATAAATAACATGACTTTGGACGATTCAGAGAATTTTTCTGCGTTTTAGTGATACGGATTCTCGCCAGAAACGCGACCGAAAAGTGACGATCACTGTGTTAGCCATCATCGCATGTTTCTTCCTGACACATGTACGTTAGTTACAGCACTTGAGTCATGCAAGACCAAATGAATGGATTTCTAGACCCCCTCAACTGTTCCCTTCATTCTGGAGTTGATTTCACCGATTATGACACCTTCACAGAGGGACTCTATCCGAAGATTGATGCCCGAACTGGGACCCATTGTACATGGATGGCTCCTGACAGGAAAGGTCAGTACACCATGTTCGAATGCTATTCCACAGAAACACGTTGGCAAAATTATCTGTAGGTGATGAACTTCGTGCTTTTCTGCATGTCATCGGTGTACTTCCGACGAAGACTTCGTGCAATCATTCAGAATCAGGTACTACTTTTTTTGATTCTTGTGTGGTATTTAAAGCAATTTATCTCGTTTTCTTCTCTACGCTGTTCCTGATCGGCTTTTTTGTACCTTTTGAATGCAGTCTGCCCCAGACTTGTGTGAGCGTAGTAGCCTTCGTTTTCTAAAAGATTCGTTATTTACCAGTTCTTTGCTAAACTGCTCCGATATCAGGTTTCCACTTCTCGTTGGAAGTTTCTCACTTTTTTTAACTTCCAGTTTGAAAGAAAATTAACGCGATTTTGAAAATACATTTATGAAGCGATCATTTTTTATCCGCTTTTTGTGTGTAGCTTCCTTTGCCATCTGGAAGCCTTTCTTCTGCGTATGTTAGGCATGCGTTGCTTGTGATGCTGTTGAACGTGACCTATCGTCATGCCCCGTTAAATAGTCTATGAGTTTTTTGAGAATGCATTTATGAAAGTTTTCACGTGTGAGAGGCGAACCACCATTTCTGCGTACTTTTCGTTTGACCACCCATACAAGAAAATATCAGGATTATGCATAACTCTTTCACCAAATCTCTAGGATCGTACTTTCTTCACCTTCAGAAAAATCTTCTGCTTTGATACAATAGGGAATAGAATTCGAGTGCCTTCCGCACATGCTTGAATCAGAACTCCTTGTTTGCATACGTTACAGGCTGATTGAAAAATGCTCCAAATGTAATTTAGCTGGTCGCTTAGCTTAAACTTACTAAAAATCTAGATTTTTCTTTTGTTTTGGTTCTATAATCTATTCTTCCTAAGTGGAAAAACTTAGTAGTGATCGGATGTCTCTATGGGTAGTTGTGAATTTTGGTTTTCCAAATTCAACTTACTGATTTTGTTTTAATTTGATTTTCTAAAGTGTATTTCAATTACCTTTAATAAACGACAAAGAGCATATTGTATAAATTGATTAATTTGTTTAAACACTTTAAACGAATTTTTTTCTTATTTTTTCGTGTAAAGATAATTGACTTGCCAACCTACTATTTGGATTGGCCCTGAGCTGAAAGCCAAAAATTATCATTCTAGTTCTGTAATTTTTCTAATATTTGTAAAAATACATAAATTTTTCTGCGTAGCTGCTTGGCTCGAGGCCTAATTGGTAATTCGGTAAAGCTATCTCGGAAGCAACTTATTGCCTGACAAAGCAGAGGTTTCCAAAATAAGTTTCTTGCAGTCTCTATAATCACTGAGGCTACCGGTGACAAATGAGAGCTGGACAGGCCGAGCTCTTTTGATTATGGTAGTTTTTGCATTCTCTAATATCATGTTTCAGCAAATTATGAGGCACCAAGCAAAAGTTTGTAAAAAGCGCATCAATTGTGTTACAACCTAATATTAGGGTACAAATCTAACGCACTATCTCTATCTTACAGCAATAGAATAAATGAGAAATATTCGATAGACCGAAACAAGCTCTACAAGTAGGCGGTGGAATCTTTGTAGAAAGATTGGTACGTAAAGCTTGCAAGTTCATTACTTTCATTTCGGTTAGTTTACAAAAACCGGAAAAAGCGATAATCTGTATGGCTTCTATTTTTCGTATCCTATCCAAGAAAAAAGCGCGGCGACTGTATGTATGAATGTTGGTTCAATCCATCTTGTAAAGGCCTACTTTGCTCCCACGGATAATATGTTTGTTACGTTTGTTCATTTACTCGTTCGCAATATGACGAACATGCATTGAACTCGCAAAATCTGATACAAAGATGGCAACTGTCTGTCACAGCACAGGTATCCTCAACCTTTTATTCAGTATTATCTCACTGTTTCTCAAAACTTGGCAAAGTTGTATGATTCACTTGCCTAGGAAAATGAGAAGATTTCAATACAAACATACTTTACATCACTGTTTCCTGTGAGAAACCTAAAATCAAATTACTTAAGTGGTTTTCCATAAGAGTTTGTGTTGAGTGATTAAGCTTGTCTGAACATTTTTCAAATTATCCACTCGTTGAATGAGTAAAGAAGCGTGGTAATCAGGTTCAATCGTTGAGATTCTAAAAAGCAACACTATACATATTTATCAACTCCTTGTCAATGTATTGCTATCTTTGAGCAGTTCAACCTCAATGGTTGTATGTTTTTGTTACCCTGCATGATATCGAAAGCTGAGTATAATACCATTATCAGGGAAATCTACATTTTTCAGCTTGGATGCGATAGGCAATTGAAGAAGTACTCTGGATTAAGCGGTTATTCTGCGAGATGGCAAGCCGTACGAATGAATACGCTCATATACAGGGAGAATGCAGCTCGACAAAATAGCTTCATCACTCAGGTGGAGTAACTCTGTGCCCCGGTTTGGAGTCATGCCATTGCTGAACAAATCACCTCTGACTGTGAGCAATCAATGGGAAATGTGTTCGGGTTCAAATGATCTCTCCTAGATCGACATTTGTGCTGTATATAGTTGTAAGTACGATAGTCACTGATCTCTATTTCATATTTTCATATGTACATATGCAATCTCCCCAGAATTCATTCCTTTCAAAATTTCGTGTCATTACTTCACATATCAGTATTTTGTACAATTACCATTATATTTGATTGGATCAAAGAATGCAGATACGTGAATATTTCGTATAAATGCGAAAACTTTTTCTTGAAAATTTCACAAGTATGGGATTAACACCTGGAAAACTAAGAGGTGAACTCACACAGTGCATATATGGTTCATGTATATTTTTGCAATCTTCCCGAACTGCGCATGTTGAGTACTTAAACTGAATAAGAATGGATTTGATAACACTAGCAGTTCACTAAAACCAGTATCAAGAACAGCTAAATGAAAGCATACTAGAGAGGGATTGAGCTATCCACCAAACAACTCACATAATAGGTGTTTGCATGTTGTAGCTACCACTAAGATAGTTATGCCGTATTGAAGCTAATTATGGAACATTTAGCGTTGCTTGCTCAACCTTTCATAACTTTAAAAAGCTAAAAATTGGAAGCTCATCCCAACCACCAGAACCTCAGACCACCGTTGGCTGGTTTAAACTTCGCAGTAGCTGGAGTCGGTCTGCGCAACTTGGACGCAGCTCAAAAATCAGGAGTCCAAGAGCGGTGGAACTGTTACATCGCTAGCATACGTATTATTTGTTGGTGTCGGCTGCTGCATTGAGTGCAGAATAAATGCTATGTAATCAAAACATCAATATACCGAATTCAATGAGAATCGAACATGAATAACATCATTATAGGCAACCTCTCTGGGATCCTCCATCAAAGGTTCTAACACTCAGTACTTATATGAATCGCCATCTTTTTCGAGAGCATGTGTACTTAGCAATCAAGAAAACTTACAAAGTGGTTTATCAGAAAAAAAGAAGTATTGAGAGCATCTGCATGGAATACAGACGAAAGACCCAACGTGACAAACGAGAGACCCAACGTTCAGTGTTGCCCCTATCTGTTTGAGATTCTCCGGGTGTTAGGAAATCCGTTTCAAAATTTCGGGAACTTTGACACATCATTTTTGTCTGAAATATTTCGGTACTCGGTTGAAAAAGACAAGACTCTTGAATAAACCTCACCTTAGAAGCATGTGAGAAATGGTATCCAAAGGCAGAAAAGTTGTGACAGCATTAGTAATGACAAAAAACTTTGGCTGAGTCCTTAATCTAACAGCCGCTCCATTCACAATAAGCGAGGCGCTTAGCTTGTTGATTATCATTCAGAGTGATTAGAACGCTAAACTATGAGATACATGATGGGCGCACCAATGGAAATTGCAACGGACACAGTGAAAGTTACTGAAAAATTGTGATATTCCCACGACACAGGCAGGTGCTTTGACATAGTTAGTGAAGGTGCAGATTGTGCGAAAAGCCTGAATCACACAAGTTTTGACCTAATCGCGTGAGGATATGACAGCGATCACAGGAAAGTACTGGGCTATGGAAAAAAGTAGAAATCACAATGAAACATCTGGACCTTGGATGAGGAAACGTGTTACCTTCCTGAAAATCTAATAGCAAAATCTTGATCGTATTGATACTGAAGAGTGCGAGTAGGGAACGAGGGTGACAAACTAAGCTGAATCGTTTTAGGAGAACGCAAAAAAGATATTGTAATGCATGTTTATATGCGCATACGCAATTTGCCTCGAGAAGCTGCCACTACTGACGTGCACAAACGCGATTTTGATCGTGGTGTCTTTCCAAAATTTTCTTGCACAAAGCGAAAACAGCTGCTTTGTTCTGGTCCACACGTAATGAGCCTACGGGCGTATTAGCTGATTATGAACCCTTAATAAAAGTATTTCTAAAAGGATAAGAAAATATGCAAAATCAGAACAAGAAAACGAACGTGAAAAATCAACCGCCAATTATATTTGAAAGACCCGGAAAGTATTATTCATAGAACAACAAGACGACGATATCTGAAATGGTTCGAGCAAATTATGGATTTTCTAGGCTGGCGCGTCTCACTGGCAACGCGAAAGCTCCCATTTTCAAGACTGTGACATTGTCGCTATCAAGAGAATAGCTTTGGAACTTCTAGCTTCGGCAAACTAACATCTATAATGTCCACATCTGAATGCATGCCCGAATGCATACTGCGAAAGTAAATCATGTGTCGAGGCGAAATAGAGGGGACTTGCACAACAAATGGCCAGGTTCGACAAGCTCAGCATGCGTCAGTAGCCATAAACCTTGCATCTCAGTATTAGTTTATCCTCTGCTCCACATAGAAATCTGTGGCGGTTCGGAGGTCCAAAGCGGCTATAGTCGAGTAGATTTTCTTGATATAGTTGCACCGCAACTGAAATGCTGTAAACTTTGCTATACTATTTACACCATTTAGGCCTGAGGAGAAACGTTGGATTGGGCTAGTGCCAAACGGAGTCATTTATCGTAATCCATGAGTTGTTCAAGCCTAATGATGTCGTTTTGATCTTTAAAAGTATTTTACAAGTCGTCTAGTTTTGGATTGAAACCATCAAGATTGTCTTGCTGTAATAAAGAAGATATTTAATAACAAAACTTTAGCTGCACAGCTACGTCTCCCTTATCGACATTCAAGCCGTATTCATATAGAAACTTTAATGATGATTCAAACCCTCTTGTTATGCGTAATCTAAGCTCTGATTTTTTACGATTTTTGAGATCCATATTTAGAAACATTTCCCAGGATCAAAATAAAATCTACCTTGCTAAAACTCTTTTTTGGGTTCAAAAAGCAGATGAAATAGGCGAGTAAATACCTAATAACAACTAAAAATTTGCTAACATGCAAGTACATAAGAGATACGCTTTGTCTGCTTCGGCCAGAAAACCTTCGCACGGGTGCGGAAGTGATTTGAACCCACCTTCCTATTCGGACTTCCCGTGGACTAATGGTTTACAGAATTTTGAAATCACATGTTAGCGAAGAAGATGGCGTGACCAAGTGCTGTAGGTAATAAGAAATGCGCATAAAGACATGTAGACTATAAGATGTAAAGCAGGGCACTTGCACTTGAATGTATGTTTAAAAGGATTTGCCTAGGTACGGCACAACTTTATTGGTAATAATGTTATGCGTGGTGTTCACTCGACTATGTTTAGTTTTAATCATTATATCGCTTGAGAACGTTACTGCTTCAATTCGGGTTGGCTTTTTAAGCGATGGCAGTGAAGACAACACAGTTCTTTCCGACTGTTTGAGGAACACCAGCATCAGGTTCGTTTTCGCTACTTCATATTTGCAGTCTAAGAGATTCTTTGCAGCTTGATAACTGTGTCAGCCTGTCACAATTATAATGGGCTGGAAAACGTGGCTAGACTACAATATGTACACCGCGTAAAGGCGCTTATAGGATCACCTTGTGCTGACGGTAAGTGGATGATTTTTACGGCAGAATAAGGTGGATGAGCTGCTAAGAGAAGTTCAGAATCTGCCACTGTTTCACGTTTGGCGTACAGATGGGGAATACCATTTCTATCAACCAGTGTTGATGCTTGGCAGGACAAGGAGGCCACGACATACGCTATGGCTCCCAATTATCAGAGAGGCCTTGCTGAAGCTCTAGGTTTATTACTGGATGGGACGAAAGTAAAGAAGGTTTGTAGGTCTTGAAAGTTCATATTTTTTGCTCGAAATGGAAAGGCTCAGCTTCTTTTCTAGAAGCGACACCTACAGAAACTATTGAAATTTACATAGTGCCTACTCTGTCAATTCTAGTAAAAAAAAGACACTGGTAAGAAAAAGAAAAACGGGAAGATGGTTGAAGGAAAGAAAATAAAGGCGATTTTGACTGCGTCTTGAACAGTACTGAAATTTCGTTCCATAGCGTTCATTAACGTTTTCTACAGTCTAAATACGCTGGCAATCCTGATATTACTGTTTTTTCTGCACACAAGCCACCATGTTTTTCATCCTGCAAAACTGAAACGTCTTAATTTTCAGACTGTGTTATACTCTGACGACTACAGCTCTACGGCAATGGAGGCAGCCAAATATATTGGTGAGCAAATCAACATCATCAATTATCAGAAAATTCAGTCCGACAAACTGGAACTTCCAAACCAAGGTAAAGGAAATGAACATGATGATGACCAAACGTTTAAGCGATCTTTTTAGTGGTTGTTGTGATAGTGAACGCAGAAACCAGAGTTCAATTGTTGAATTACCTGATGAGTAGAAGAAAATCACATTTGGGTACGCAATTCATCATATACTCTGATGGAAGGTAAGGAAAGAAGATAAATGTGATGATCTTCAGAGTCAGGATTTTCGGAAGAAATTTCCTGTGTTTGGCTTTGATCAGCCAGAAGTGCTATTATCGAGACGATAAATTAGAAAGCGCTATGAAATGCAGAACAAGCCGCTTTGCAAATAAGACAAATAAGACTTGCCAATTTTGACCTCTGCTAAAACGTTATTATGAACCTACCTATTGTCTAAGTTTTCATAGTTTTTATGATACAATCACTGCAATCTGCACATTTTTCGTTCATGTTCAGTCATAGAGCGTATATCCTCAGTTACAAAAAGTGTCAGTAAGAGTATTAGCAAATGCGAAGAAAGCACCCAATCGCTTACTTGTCATGACAATAAATAAACAAATGCAGCCACGAATCAGAGTGACCAGAATGTGATTTGGCTTTTGAAAATTTTTTGTTGTTCTAAAGCTTTGAAAAGACCTAAGCCATTCGTTTTCAGCACTGATGCCAAGACATTTTACGCAAAGCTAACAGATTTGATGAGTAATGCCTCGGATGTAGAGCAACAATTAATTATGGCAAACTTTGTTCTGGTTAGTTCAAAATCATTTGTACTGCTTACACTGTTTGCTGAGCTAATGTCTAAAATGAGTTACAAGCACCATAAATATCTGCACTATTTCGAGTGAGCCTATGAACATCGCGCAAATATCTTGTTTTGCTCCGTGGTCACCGAGTACCTACCCTTGTCAGAAAGTAACCAAAGTATTTTGATGTTGTTAACATTCATTTCAGCTTCAATCGTCACATGCTTCAAAAAACGAGGAATTGCTTTGGAATCAAAACACCACTGTGAGTCGCTTAGTAATTCCATAGAATTACTTAAACTAATATTTCTTCTGGCAAAATTCCAAGTTTTTCAAGTATATAGTATTATACACTATAGTATCGAGTATTATAAACAGGATGTCCCAAAAGTATGTATGCAGTGTTTAATCGTTGATTTCTCTCTTCCCAAAAAGTCTTTTGCCTACCTTCAAGCATGTTTTCGTAGAGCTAACATCAACTTAGATTTGTAGTATGGAACGAGCCACCATTCGCTCTTCATTACTGTAAGATTTTGATAGGAACTTTTGCTTACAGCATCATTGTGGATTAGGCTGCTCCAAAAGTTTCCAAAATTTTTGAAAAGTAGTGATCAGAAGTTCTACGCAAGTTAATCATTGCTCAACTTTTTAGAAGTTTGTAAACTTCTCAAATAGGGCATCAAAATTTTAAAGAGGATTGTAGAGATAGCTGTCGCGGTTTCTACAGGCGTGAATTATGGAGGAGGCGTTGCGTAAAATGAAAAGTTTTAACGACTTTAGTTAGCCTAGTGTAGGAGTTTCTAGATTATTAGGTTTGTTTTCTGAGGCGTAGGGCCCATAATCGTACAAAACCCTTTCTAAAGTTCCTACCGTAATTCTACAATAATGGGAAACATTCGGTAATTCGCTCCTTACTGTAAATCTAAGTTTAAGCTCTACAAAATGATACCTGATGATAAGCCAAAGACTTTCATGGAAGAAAGATATTGTTCTAAAAGTGTATACACGCTTTTGGAACAACTGCATACTTTCTGCTAAACCAGAACAAATTTAATGCTCCAAAATAAGAAAAAAATAAATTCAGGTAACCAAGGCCGTGGAGGGATCCATGCTACTATGCGACGCGATAAGCTTACTAGAACAAACTGGTGGTAGCATTGAGCATCTGAACCATTTTCAAGGGCGTGAGATAGAAGGTGACTCACTCAATTCGAAAAAATATTGCTGAGCCGCATTTTTTAGGACTTTCTGGCCCGATATTCCTTCGAAGTGATGGGACGCGTCAGCCATATTTTGAGGTTTTCACCTGGGAATACGATCATATGCTTCATGCTGCCTCGTTAAGACCATCAGAAATTCCATGCAATGAGAGCGTTTCCCAACCGTGCATTTCTTATGTACGGCTAACCTATTACTGCAGCCTTCCCCTCTTCCTCTCTAATCTCCTCCTTCAAAAATAATTTTAGGTTCTGAACAATGTATCAAATTCAAGCGTATTGGCTTCTCTAAGCTCGAGTCGAGATGAATGTGAAGGATTTGCATGTTTCACAAATATCCTTGCACTACTGACGGTTGTGTTTATTTTTGTGGCAATTGGACTACCTTTACTAACAACTTTACGATTTCAAAGGTGCGTTTTCCACGCATTGCTCTTCTCACAGTTCTACTTTAGATCACCGTTTAATAATTAGAATATATTTCTAGAAAAGAGAAAGAAATGAATCGAATGAGTTGGAGAATCGCGTACGAGAACGTTATGCAACGCAAAAGACAAGTGGGTTTCTTCGCAGAACTTCTTTTATTAATGCCACGTGCAACTTTTTTGCTGATTTATTTCATGGATACAATGCATATTTTATGGTCATTGGTCGAACGAAGTTCTTTTTGTAAGCAGGAAATTGGCCGCAAAAGAAAGTAGATTTGAAATAGAGAAATGTCTTTTTTAGCTTGCACTTCGAGAGCGAAACTGAATGAGAATATTGCAGGAAGAGACAAATTTTCCCGGATATAGAAAAATTTCATCTACAAGCAGTGCTGCCATATCTATGGCAAAATTGCAATGTTTGGGAAACTCCTCTGTCAGCTACTGGAATGACCAGAAGGTTGTCTTTCAGTTCAGACTTGCCATACTCTTATAGGCATTGAAAATTGAAAGTGGATGTTTTTAGGTATTCGTTAAATCCTATAAACAGAAGCGTGCATTGTCATTCACAAGAGCAGAGATGAAGCAGCTTGATGAGGTAAGAAATTGATACCTTAATGAGCGTTAGATAACAGCGACCTTGACCCTAACGACAACAAAACATAAAATCAGGCTTTGATATAATTTTTTTCCAATTTTTATCCCTGATTTCAAACAATTCAGTTGAGAGCTTTATCCCATACAAACGTCAACACTTTCATCGGGATGTCATTCAATCAAAATAATGAGATGACCGTGCTATGGAAACACTGTTCTCGAAGCAGTCTCGAACATGCTATATTTTTCAATAAGCAGCGATTTGGAAGAACATTCCAGGGCAGCTTTCTCAAGCATATAATAAGCGTGAGTTATGAGTGCTTGTGTCTTGTCTTACACTTGTGACAGTTCTAAAAAGAGCATTTTCAAAAAAGTCCAATATAAATGAGGTTTTTTAGGGCCTTCAATATATTCACAATAGCCCCATACAATATCATGGCGCTTTATTTCTCTCGAACTGTGTTGTTGATTCTTACTGGGTCGTCAAGCTAACTAACTTTGGTCTTCAGAACATCATATGGGACAAAGTAAGTGTAGGCAAACCTGAAGCTCGTTACACAACACCTTTTTAGATGGATTTCAAAGAGATTGCCGGTAGCAGAGCCGTCGACGTAGATGAACTGCCGGCAAGTTAGTGCATACCGTTTTGACTGAGTATTGCAATTAGCCTAATATATTTGACCATATCTAAACCTAACGCTGACTGAAATGGCTACACAGCCCGTCCATTTTAATATATTGTGCTGCCTTACATTTTATCGACCAAAACTCAAACGACTATCAAACGACTAACCTGAAAAAGTTTCGTGACGGTCTTCTTCGTAAGCCGTGAACCTGTGATTGACTTAACGATTCAACTTTTGTGCCATTAAGTTACAGTGCCTATTATTAGGTTGGCACATAAGTTTTGCAACTTATCCCGTAACTTTTTTCCTATTTTATGTAGCAATCTCATTTTGTGGCATCATGTAGATCGTCATGTAAGCTGCAAGTCTGCGCAAACCGTTTGATTTTTGATAACGTAGTACAAAAAATCTAAGCATTTTTTGAAAACTGCTGGAAATCGAGGTTTCACGATTTTTTGGCAAACATGAAGCCCTACGAAACCTGATTCAAACATATGAAAAAGCAATTATAGGCAGCATGTAGCTGGAAGTTGGCACATTGGAATCAGTGAAAAAGAAATGAAATTTAAACACAAGCTAAGGTGGGACGCCTTTGAGAAGTTGAACAAGTCAAATGCGTCAAGTTTTGAAGGCAATTTGTCAATAACTAAGCTGCGAAAAGTCAGAATTCGCTATAACTTTGCACTATAGAGTAATCCTATGCGGTAAACACAAATATCATATTCATTTGTCGCTAAAGTGAAATTGATTTTTTGATCTCACGAACAAGACTTTTTTCATGCTAAACGGATCTCATTTTTGTGATCAGCATGTCAAATAAGCCCTATAGGCCAAGTTTCAGCAAAATCTGATGCATTCTAAGATTTTTCCCATAGTACCGTAAACCTACCGTAATCCTCACATAAGATGGTAAAATTCGGCAAAAATGTGTGCATTAGAAGCTTACATCATATTCTTTATTTTGCCGAAAAATGAATGCGCTATGTTCAAATAGACAAAAGTTATATAAAAAGTTGCATTACTTATGTGCCAACCTAATAATTTACAAAAATGCAGTTACTCTAAATATATTTCGTCGATAATAAAGACGTCGCTATGCTCAGTTTCTTAGTCTTGATCAAATTCAGCAAAAAACACAAAAAGTATTCTGTTCCTTGTGATGACTTGGCGCCATTTTTGTGCTCGAAAACTTACGCTCAAGAAGAAGAAAACGTTAAAAGAAATTGCAGAAACACGACAAGAAGTAGATGATTATGAGGAAAGCAAAACTTGACTTTTATTTAAGCGTAGAAATTGCCCCATAAAAATAAGTTTTTATCTTACAACATCTTTTTGAGATAGGTTATAAACGTCGACTCAAAAAATTCAACTGCAGACAATAACTTATGGGAGAGTCAAGTTCACACACCATCAAGCCTCGTCGGCCATTAATAAAGATCTGCCATCTTGGTCGCGCTTAAGCAAATAATCGATAACAAAACTTCTACAGTTTTATAACCTTGAAGTACCGCAAAAGCATATACTTTCAGAAATGTAGGAACTCCAGAGTTGGAAATTTGCTGAAAGGCTGTATTTTGGCTTCTCTTACTATCACCTTCTATTTTGTAGAAGGTGATAGTAAGAGAAGCCACTTACAATGTAATTTATATAATGCGCAAAGATTTCATTGCGTTATTCTTGCATTTCCGCTTCCTCAGTCATTCCCTGCAAATCAGTGGTTGTTACTTGATCCGAAGGCGGTCACCCAAATAAGCGAGCGCGTGCGAGATTGGCGCGCGCAGGCAAGTGCCAACCATGGTGCGCGCGCCTGCGCAGAAAACGAGACATACAGGAGAAAAATGACCAAAGAAATAAATGCATGCGAAGAATGGAAGAAAGCAGACGAATTTTGTGAACAGTAGCTAAATTGCAAATGAAAGCGTTGAGAAGAGTTTGAAATATGAGAAAATATGGCCTAGATTTTAAGAAAAGCAGTGTTCGAGCCCCAAGGCGATCTGCTAACTATTCCGCCACGCGCACCATGCGTGACATTTTGTCCGCGCGTCGTCTGCGCGCCAGTCACACAATACGCTTAGCTTATTTGGGTGACCGTTTTCGTTATGGATCGGATATCAAGAAATATTTTGTTAACATTGTTATTATCACGAGTGAAGTGAGTAAGTATCAAGCAGAGTTCGTGAAATAGGGAGTAATAGATTACTTGTCTACACAAATACTAGCAACTTTGGAAACAACTAGACCTCGCGATTTTTTACCGCGCTACGGTAAGGTATGCGGGCTCCTACATGTTTCAGAATACTACCAACTTCCTCCGGAGGTGCTGCGAATTATAGCCCAGAATGGGCTACTCTGCTCTGGTTCACAGATAGCTGATATATATCAGTTGGGTATGATAATATACCAGATTCTTTATCACAGAAGGCCATTCTCTGAAAAGTTTGATAGAACCCCAAGAGGTTCGTTTTAGCAGTTACTAGTTCATTGAAAAAAGGATTACTTTGCAGAATTGGTAGAAGCCATTTGTGAAAGTTCTAAAAACAATCCTTGTTATCCTGAAATTCCTGATGAGAACGACTACACCACGCGTTTAGTCTCAGTTATGCAACAGGTAGAGTTACATACATTTTTTATCCTAGGTTAATATGTACTTGCAGTGCTGGTCATCAAATGAGGAACTACGGCCAGAAATGTATGAGATAAGCGATGCGGTGGCTAGAGAATTTGAAAAGGAGTAAGTATTTGTTTTTGAACATTATCGAAACTATTCCGCGGTCTATCATCGTTAAAAGAGGACCTGAAATTTTGCAATAGAAATTTCAGGGAAACATATGAAACTTATTTTCTAGAATATACTTGCTCGAGTTCGACAGACTACCGCCAACATTATTAGCTCGTTCCGAAACATCCATGAAATTCATCCCTTTCTAAGACTAATTGACTTTAAAGAATGATGTATGATAGGTCGTTGGTCATAGAAAGTCACTGCTCAATTCATCAATATTGTAACAGACCTAAAGATTGATACAGTCAAGCACAATACTCATTCTCTTCGCAGTGGACTATTGGAATCCATGATTACCACGACCTATTCAAAGTTTTTGTGTGTGATTCTAGCTTACTAAAAATTGATTTCAAAACTCCGTTCTTTTGCTCAATCACGAAGCCTATTTGTTCCATAAACTAGATTGTCAAAGGAATGCATATACGTACTATTTTATTAGGTTGTCAAGAAAATAATGTCGGTTTTTATTTGCTTGCATTAACAAAGCAACCAGACTCAACCCAACAAAGGGTAAGGGGTACTGTTCGATAGAGCAAAGCAAGCTCTACAAGATGGCGCTCATGTCTTTGCGCCATGCTCGATCCACGGAGAGTTCGAACTCAAGATCTAAAGATTTCCAAATGCCCAAAAAATCGAAAAAATCAGATCTTCGTCCAAATAAGTTCTACGGACCTCCAACTCGCATACGTCAATACTTTCAATATCTGATATCCATATGTGCAATTGCTGTATTTTTTCCTTGACTAGGAACTGAGAAAACGAAAATTTCCTTGGTATTCTCAAAGCATTGCTGAGCCGCTCTTGCATATGTAGTTCTATAGTACAAGCCCAGATGAGTATAACTGTAGATTTTCAGCCCATTCGAAGCGGTAGTTTTCGAAAAATAACGAATTCGGATTTTTTAGTTTCAGTTTCAGTGCTAAAATCGACATTTCTCGAAAAGCACCGCTCGAAATAGGCTGAAAACCTACAGTTATGCTTACCTAGGCTTGTAGTATAGAACTACATATGCAAAAACGGCTCAACATTGCTTTGAGAAAATCAGGGAAATTTTCGTTTTCTCAGTTTCTGATCAAGGAAAAAATACGGCAATCGCACATATGGATATCAGATATCGATAGTATTGATGTGAGCGAGTGGCAGGTCCGTAGAAATTATTTGGACGAACATCTGATTTTTTTCAATTTTTTGGGCATTTGGAAATCTTTAAATCTTGAGTTCGAACTCTTCGTGGATCGAGCATGGCGCAAAGACATGAGTGCCATCTTGTAGAGCTTGCTTTGCTCTATCGAACAGTACCCCTTATCCTTTGTTGGGTTGAGTCTGGTTGCTTTGTTAATGCAAGCAAATAAAAACCGACATTATTTTCTTGACAACCTAATAAAAATGCTCTGCTTTACCAAAGTAGAAAATCTTAAAATGTCGAAAGGGTCAAAGCTTGTATACAGCGTGGTCTTAGCGACTGTTGATTAACTAGAATACCACCTCAATAACCAGTGAGTAGTATTAGGTGCAACTAAATAATGCGTCTTTTTTACCACTTCTTTTCTTTAATATAACGTATTCGAATTCGGCATTATATTGCTAATTTTGCACGAACTGCATGATTTTGATAACAATGAAAGAAATTCATTTGCATTATTTGAAAACTGATGAATAGATTGCAAGAGTAACGAAGTTTCGAAGCAAAACGTGCACACTCAGATTAAGCTTAGCGGTCCAAAATTGTTGATGATATGTTGCTAGATTGATTCACTAACAAGGAAAGCGTGTTTAGTCCAAGTGACCTTTTCACATGAGACCCATACTCCTATAAAGAGCATTGAGCGCTAATTCCAAATCTGCCTTCCAAATCTGCCAAGCGCCTCTGGACGCCGAGTTATGGGCGTTTTTCAGGTCAAAAAACTGAACGCAAAGCTGGAATAAAAAAATGCCCAAATTTGCTCAAATGGTCCGGTGTCGAGTATTAGAGCGGTCCATGCAATATATACATTTTGTCAATATGCTAATACCAAACATTGCTTTATCTGAGCGCTAGAAAGATTGTAACAGTCGATTTTACCTACATTTTGCATCCAATTTTCGTTCCAGAAAACGGTAAAACTCGGCGTCCAGAGGAGCTTGGCAAATTTGGAAGTCAGATTCGGAATCATCGTGCAGTACTTTTTAAAGCAGTATGGTCTCACCTGAAAAGGCCACTTCGACCAAATATGCTTCCCTTAATCTACACAAGAAAGAAATGGAAGTTCATGACAAAAGTCGAAAACATGTCGTTGCTGTCAATGTACAATGTTGAATCTATGCGCTGAACGCGAGTACCATTTTTATTTGCTTCCAAAAAATACCTTGATATTACAAAAAAGCTGCGCACAATGAGCATCATTTTCCTTATCAGCATTTCGAATAAACAATCTCCAAATTTTAACCAGACTGTAACAAAATGTAATTGGCCCTATGACATACGATACCTACCACAACTCTCTGTGTGATAGAAGAAATCGGCAGAGGAACGTTTGAAAACGGCAAAAAATTATCATCCTTTTCTTGTCTGGAGCAAAGAGGCTTGCAAAAGATGCCGTTAAGAACTCAAAATTCAAATGTTAGATGTTTCCTTACTGGATACTCAATACATTTTGCAATTTCAATCTCTGCTGGTGAAAATCTTTTTCTCGTTATAGAGCTTGCGCTAACAAATTCAATATAGTCATAAGCTAGCTGAAGCTATTGAATTATTCACGAATGAATGAATCATCACCATTTCAGAGGCAAAGGCAACATCATTGATCAGATGGTTCGTATAATTGACGACTATCAGGAGAATCTTGAACAGAAAATTGACGAAAGAACGAAAAATTTGGAAAGTTTGCTTGACAGAACTCAGAAGATTTTGTTCCAAATCTTGCCCAGGTGAAGAGGTGCCAACAAGAACTTTTTTGTGAATGTCGGTTTTCAGGAATATTGCTGAAGATCTAAGAGAAGGAAAACAAGTTTCTCCTGTTATGCACCCATGTGTATCGATAATGTTCGGTGATATATGCAAGTTCACTGAGCTTTGCGAATCCTGCATACCTGTTCATGTGCGTTTACCTTTCTGATAAAAGCGAATTCAAAGAAAGCAAACTTTTCCATAAGATTGGCCAGAATGCGCGGCGTGCGCAGCGTACGCTCAAGTGCATAAAAATATGGAGCGCACGCCAGGTACGCCGTGCACTTTGGCCCAACTCATACTCTTCACCATACCTTATGAGTGGCGAGTAGAACTTAATAATAACCAAATTCTCAAACTGCTGAGAAATTCTCAAACAAGTTCAACCGTGGGGCTCTATGGTCTTAGGCACACGCCATACTTGATGTTTAATCCACGTCATCTACTTGTTATTGGTCAAGTGAACTGCCTATAGCGAAGTTGGAGAAATGTTTTTACCGAAGAGATTGATAGCTTAGGCTTTTGATGACCTCCTGGCCTATGGTGGGATAACACAGTTCGTACACATTGATATCTACACAGACTTTACCTTACTTAGCTTTTACCTTACTCTCACTCAGTTACAAAAAAAAGAAAATGATAAAATACGCAAAACGAGATGCTCGTCTCTGTGTGTCGCTTTATGCTGCCGCTCCTAACTCGAGGTAACTCGAGGTTGGACTTGCACGATTACCAGAAGTAGGCTTAGAAAAGAGAACCATCTTGGAGATTTACTTCTTTTTCTTCGCAAAACCGTTTTTTGATATTTTTTATACACACATATTTTGGGTTGCGGTTCAAAATAAGATGATTAGCAGCTATGACGACAAAATTTGAAGGCAGTTGTAATCTCGAGGTTTTTAGAAGAAAAGAAGTCTATTTTTTGATGCATGGTTTTCTTCCTGGTTTGCGGTATCAGCATAGGGTTGTGCGCGCTAAGTCAAATGGTCTTGACTACATTCGAAAGTATAGAGACTGGACAAAGTTATAGCATTCAATGTGGAACTTTGCTAAACGGACACATTTTTGCACCAACCTAATACTTTATTTTCTGAACTTTTGAAATTGGAAGCAATCGTACAGTCTACAAATCGAGACGAAGTTCCACACATGATAGTCATCAGCTCACCACTTTTTTCAGGTTATCGACATCTTACAAGATCTATATTCTTCATTCGATCAAATAGTTTCAAAGCATAATGTGTTTAAGGTTAGTTAGAATTTTTTTGTGGCCAAAATCTTACAAAACTACTTTTAGGTAGAAAATGTTGGTGATAATTATTTACTTGTGAGCGGTCTAGATGGATGCAACAACCATCTCGAAGAAATTTGCAATATGTCGTTAGAACTCGTGAAAGCAAGTTACAATATTGAAAGAAGCGATAAACTTTGGAATCGACCGTACAAAAATATTTTTCAGTTCATAGACAATCACACAACAAAGCATCGACCTGATATTAAGCTAAGAATGAAAGTTGGAATAAACAGCGGAGCGGTGGCTTCCGGCCTTTTGGGAAGTTCAGCACCGAGGTAAGAGTGGAAAGAATTTTTTAACTGCGTTTCCAGAAATCGATGAGAAATTTTTGTAATTTCTTGATTTTAGCGAAATTCGTCTCTAATTCATTCTCAACACTAAATTATAAAATAAGGGGCGAGGACTTTAATTGGGAACAGGTGTATTTCTCAGATTGAAAAGGGTTTTGCAAATCGAATTCTTAATCTCTTAATTTTCAGCTTCTAGTTCATCTCAGTGTTTCTTTTTACTTCTTAGGCTTTTTTAACTTTTACTAATCAAAACATGTTTTTAGTATCGTACGATGATCACAACTTTGATCTTAGATTTCTGTGCTGATTTATTTCCTTGCAGATGAATAGTATATTGCCATCATGGAAGTAGAACCATTGGCGATGCAATTTATCGCTGTAATGTCGTGATCTATTGGTAGAAATTCTCCCTCTAGAATGAGCAATAACTTTCATTTTTGGCGTGATATCTCTAAGAAGTAATTCGCAACACAATGTCGTTCATTTTTAGGCAGCTAAAAACGCAAAACAGAGCCTTGTGTTTACTTACAGTTACATGTGATGTTGCTTGACTGAATTTATGAATGTCTTCGAGATTAAAATAAGTAAAAAGTGGGAGAACAGAAAGAAAACAGTAATTATGAGCCAAGGATTTATTATTGACCAACGCTTGAAGGCCTTGAATACTTTTCTTCGCAAGAAAGCGCAATTTCAAGACTATGATTAAGAAGGAAATAGAGCACTCGGGATAACATTAAGTGGATGTTACAAAGGTAACAACATATCAAGTACAGATATGTAAATATTTATATTGGTTAGCAGCATGATAGATTCTGTCATCTTCTTCGGACATTCACCATAATTTTCTTATTAATGTCTTCCGCAGCACTTTGCCTAGGACCACTGCTAAATCAGCACGTTTTTCCAAGTCAAGTCATTGCGAGGTTTCACGCACCTTTCGTGAATCATTCAATACCTTGTTTATTTACTTCTTTATTCATTCAAACTGCACAATAAGTGCTTACTTGCGATTGCGAGTAAGCACTGTGGTCTTACCTTGATAACAAAGCTGTAGAGAACTTTGTAGTGCTTTTTCTTTTTCGTTTCTCTTTTTGTGCATGTCTTGTAAAAACAAAGAAGATTACTGAGTCAATGTCGATGCCGCGTACGTCCAAAGCTGCAACGCGCTTTTGCTGCTGAAGTGAAAGGGAGAGAAATTGCTTCGAGTTTGCAGACACTTGGAATTAGCCCTTGAAAGTTTGCGTTATCCGCGCCTTTGTCTTGGTTTTTGCTTGACTTAGTGTAAAATATTGCAACGTAGAATCTATGTGGAGCCATTTTAATGTGCCAACATTTATGCAATTTACGCTATAGTGTGTGGACCCGGCCAGTCTCCCATAGGTACCTTCGCGGCGCATCCGCAGCGCGTACATTTCTTGATGCTTCTCACCTCACTTATGAGCAATAGAGCACATCTACGCACCATATAAGAGAATTGAGAAGTGGAAACGTAAATACACTTCGAAAGAAACGTATATAAGAATAAAACGCACGCACCTCCACTAGTACCTCGACTTCAATCAATGGCTGCAAATTTCAGACTTGCACCGATGGAAAAGCGGTAATAAGTAAACGTAGAGCAGAAAAAGAACAACCGCATTCCCAAAACTCTTTTCGTAAATATAGAAACTAAATGGTAAAATAACTCAAAAAATGTGGATATCTCCGAAAACAAATCCCTACCTGCTTCTTGAAAGGCTTGATTTGACTTGATACACTGTCTACACTTTAAAAATCAAGTCGTGAGGGGCTCTTATTTAGCACAAAAAGCTTTTGGAGGAATATTCTCTTAGAATACACCTCAAACCTCAATCTTTCAGAAGAAAAAAAGGGAAAAACACAAGACTAGTACTCAAGACCGAAGCTCTCAGGGATAGTAGAGCACGTGAACTCTCGTCACCGGTTATGCGAATTGTTTACACCTGAAATAGAGGGAATATAGTAAAACAAAAACAAGAGAATGAGAGAAAAGCAAGGAAATCCATAGACAGGAGGCGCGCTGAAGGCGTGCGCTGCGGATGCGTCGCGCAGGTACCTATGGGAAGCTGGCCGGGGTCCACACTATACAAGCTTGTTACTGTTCAAAATAGGTTGACTAAAAAATAATCTTGTTTTGGCATGAAAATCTTCATAAAAACTTTCCTAGTTGTTCTTTATCCATGATTTTTTTGTAGGAAGTAGTTCAAAGCTTTTCCTATCACATATTAACTTAGAAATTCAAACTCTTAATAAGCACAGTTATGCCCCAGCGCGAGCGTAACGTTAAAGTGAGCGAAGTCGTTACTGTCACGGCACAGGCGCGGGGTTTTCGGGGACGGACTTCTCAGCCGCGCCCAGATTTACCTGGACACTGCCTTTGAGCATCCTTTTCATGACGTAATGGATGAAGGGAACGGCTGTATGGAATTAGGTCATTCAAAAAGTTTTTTTCTGTTTACACTCTTGACTTTGAACAAGCACAACTTTGCCTCTACCCCACCATTTCTCACTAAATAGACTTCCTTGTTCAGCACATGTTCAATAACGCTTTTGTAGTGCTGATATGCTTTTTTCTCGTGGAATGATATTAGAAGAATCAAAAAAGGCTTTTTGGCTAGCTGTTATTCATCGGGCCTACTATTTTCGAAGAGGCTCCAAGGAATTGGAAAAAAGACAAAGGAAGGTTTGGAGAGTTCAAGGATGGAATAAAGACCTCGTTGCGTAGTTTACCTCATTTTGGAGAGCCACCCTTCTTACATGTGCTTTGGAGGCATTCCGAGCTAGGATGGTATCCAAGTACTAGGTCATTCAAAAAATTCTTTTGCTTTTTACGCCCTTGATATTGGGGCCATCTTTAATACAATGACGACCGCTTGACACACATGGTGTGTCAAGGCTTGGCACACCATGTGTATCGTTGAAATGGCTACTATTTTGTGTTAAACCGACTCCAAGAGTTTTCTTCTGTGCTGGATCTAGACACGACCTTTACCGTTATTGCCAGCATTCCAGGGTTACTGTGGGTGTACAGTAGATGAAACTGCGCGTGATTTTATCTAAAAAATGTTGACCGGTCCGTAAAACGCCATGGTCGTCAATGTGTTGATGTTAATGTTAATGTTGACAAAGTGTCAAAAAAATGATGAGAATAGCTATATAGGGATGCGCGCAGTGTAGGATTGGTGCATTGTTTGAAGGAATTTAGACCTAAGGAAGCAAATCCTAAATGTAGCTACACAAAATTATCAGGGACAGCCACACAACCTTGTTTGACGCCAATCTACGTTAAATAAGGTTGTGTGAATGAATGTCCGAGACCCGGTGATAATTTTATGCAGCTACATTTGGGATTTGCTCAAAAAGTCTGCAACACCTTCAAGATACTGCAAAACATTAGCTTCTTTAGATCTGAATTTTTTCAAACAATGCACCAATCTTACTCGTGATCTGCCATTCAAAATTCTTTGATCGAAAAACCAACTTTCCCCATATTTGCGCACAATGAGTAAACTGGGGTTTATCACTTCTTTGCGCGTTTCCTCCACTGCAAAATAAACTCGCTCGAACAGATGTTATGTTCCAATTCTCATTAGAGTGCAGTATTCGATACTTTTCAAAGTACCGAAGAATGCACAAAAAATTGTCTGCAGCATCTGTAGGAGCCGCAAAACCGAAAGAAATTATTTATTAGCCAACCTGATAGTATATTACTTCAATTTTCACAGAAATTTTTTTCACTATTCCAGATTCTGCCTGTTTGGTGACACCCTCAACATGACCTGTCAAATGGCAGCAACATCGGAACCAGGGCAGATACAAGTCAGTGTTTTGATCGTTATCTTAATTATCTTATATATAAAGCTGAATGTCTGTTTGTCTGTATGTCTGTCTGTCTGTCTGTATGTCTGTCTGTCTGTCTGTACGTATGTTCCGAATAGAAAATTCCATTTCTGAACCGATCCGGACCAAACTTGGCACACATACACTACGGGCCCCGGCGGGTGTCATAGGCTACTTTTCGCCATCGATCGATATCGATTTTATCGATTTTTTGCTGAGTTCACCTACGGGGCTGGGAGTTGGCACAGGGGCGTAATCGAGCATGGGGATTCCGAATACAATATTGGTTTTCAGGATTATCGATTACTTTTGTCGATTTTATCGATTTTTTTGCAAAGTTTGAGCTACGGGGCTGGGAGTTGGCACAGGGGGGTAATCGAGCATGCAGATTCCGAATACAATATTGGTTTTCAGGATTATCGATTACTTTTATCGATTTTATCGATTTTTTTTGCAAAGTTTGAGCTAGGGGGCTGGGAGTTGGCACAGGGGGGTAATCGAGCATGCTGATCATCCCCAAGGGGGGTGATCAGCATGCTCGATTACACCCCTGTGCCAAATTCCAGCCCCTAGCTCAAATTTTCAAAAAATCGATAAAATTGATAAAAGTAATGGACGATCTTGAAAACTAATATTGTATTCGTAATCTGCATGCTCGATTACCCCCCTGTGCAAACTCCCAGCCCCGCAGGTCAAACTTTACAAAAAAATCGATAAAATCGATAAAAGTAATGGACGATCTTGAAAACTAATACTGTGTTCGTAATCAGCATGCTCGATTACCCCCTGTGCAAAATCCCAGCCTCGCATGTCAAAATTTACAAAAAATCGATAAAATCAATAAAAGTAATCGATAATTCTGGAAACTAATATTGTATTCGGAATCCCCATGCTCACTTCCCCCCCCCCCCCTGTGCCAACTCCTAGCCCTGTAGGTGAATTCTGCAAAAAAAAAATCGATAAAAATCGGTAAAATCGACATCTCGATAACGAAAAATGGACTGTGACACCCGCCGGGGCCCGAAGTGTATGTGTGCCAAGTTTGGTCCGGATACGGCGGAGCCGGGTAAGCCAGCTAGTTGTTTATAAAACTTTTTCAGACTATGGAGGGAACAGCAAGGATTATTCAAACTCGTTATGATAATAAGTTCAATGTGAAAGAACGAGGACTTGTGGACGTCAAGGTTAGTCCGGTGTTCGCTTCTGAATGAGAAATAAATTAGTTAAGCAGCTTCTAACAAGAGGATGATTCCAACTTAAAGGCAGAGTCCCTGCAGATTCGCGCCCTGGAAGGCCTAGCTGCGGAGGGGTACTGGTCACTCCACTAACCACCAGGCTCACGTCGGCTGGTTGATGTTCCATCTGTGCCGAAAAAATAGCCCTTCAACCGACGTGCGCTCTGTTGCGCCCTGCAGGGCGCCATGGCGGCTTCGCTCAATTGTTCAGCGCGGGACCCCATGACAGACATTGCACGCGCACAATGTCTGTCATGGGGTCCCGCGACAGATTTTACCAAGTTACAGCCGTAGGGTTTTCGCGACAGATTCTACCACCTTTCCAGTGGAACTCTCGTTCGACGCTTTTTGGAAATTCGGTAAACGCCCCAAAAACGGTCCTCACCCAATTCTAATCTCATATTCGGGTTCTACATATCGAAAAGGCCTAAAACATGCAGAAAGGCGGAAATGCATTTGCCGGGAAACTGCCTTTAGAGGCAGTGGCTCGGGAAAATGGCGACTGCAAGCTTTTCATGACTACGTGGCCTTCTGGACCAGCTGAGTCCGGTACTGCGCTTGAAAGGTCAAAAAAAGCAGCCATTGCGATACAGTTTGCCGCCAAAAATAAGTGGAATTACAGTCTTGGGCAGCCGATTGCTCATTTTAGAGTGAATCCCTCGCCCCGCCTATTCAGAAATCTCCAAGGCCCTTTTCTGACTTTTCAAGCGCAGTACCGGACTCAGCTGGTCCAGAAGGCTATGTAATCATGGAAAGCTCGCAGTCGCAATTTTTCCGAGCCACTGCCTCTAAGGTGAAGAAATGGAATGAATCAAATATCATTAAGTGCATTTTGATGGGCTGAATCCAAATCTACCTTATTAATCTGCAATGTAGCTCTTTGGAAAAAGTTTTGAGCGTCCAAAAGTCCAAACTTGGCAAACATTCAACACCACACCTCCAAGAATTAGTTGTTTACAAACACTTATTTGTGTTTCCTGTAAATGTGAGCAATTCCCGAAATAAGGACGCTCAATACATGCTAGTCATGTATTCACAAGTTGGGTGTTGAAACACATCATGGATTGAAACACAATGACTTCACGCTTCTAACCGCTCGTGACTTTTTCAAAGAATCGCATCACTGATATGGTAGGTAGATTTAGAATCAGCTCATCAAGACGCATCTAACGATATGCGGTTCATTTCAACTACCCACCCAGTTTGGTATCGTTCCCTTAGAAGTCTGCTCATAATTAATTGTAATCTTATTGAATTAACGTCTAAAGGTTCTGCTCAACTGACCTCAACCCATATGCTGACAAGACTAGAATATTTGAAGTTCTGTGCATTTTGGCTTTGAAGCGCGCAAATCTCAGTAATCATCTTAGCACAAAACTTTTTTCATAATCACTGAGCCTTCGCGTAACTATCTCGATTTTATTTCACGTTGCCTGTGCGATCAATCATTTTCACCATCAGAATCAAGTTACCGCAATATATGGGCTTACTACCTTAGACTCTTGATGCTCTCATTTTATGAAGAAAGAACTCTAACGGAGACCGCCAAAGATTCTCAAAGATTTTCTTGTTAAGCCTGCTTTTCTGGATTACATTCTACTGTAGAAAAATTTCTGTTGTAGAATGTAATGCAAACAAGCCAGTTTAGTGATGGATGATATATTGTTAGATAGAAAATAGCCCAATATCGTTTTTACACTTTTACATTGGCTTTCCATTTAAAAGTCGACTTTTCAATGTTAGCATCTAACAAGGGAACCTTAGTGTCCGTGGCCTTTGAAATAAAATGTGTACCGTTACCTTTGTCTTCGAACGCATATTCCCAATCTGATTTCCATTTCTGCTGAACGTTTCTCTGAAAGAAGTTATGAAGGATTTTCGCGCCAAATTTGGCCTTCAAAGATATGATAGGAACACCAATACCGCCGGTAGATGTGATGTAGCGACTAGTGCGTTAGCCTCACAGGCTGATGCAGATGTATATTCAGGTTTTTTTTGTATTTTTCAATTGCATTGCCTCAATTAAACTTTTTTTTAAGAGTTAGATTTCCTCGAGGTAACATGTCCTTACTCGTTGAAAAGTTAACGAGGATTCATTTTTAAGCGAGTGTTTCCTATATTTATTCCAAGAGGTGCCTATAAAAATGAAAATGAACGGAAAATGAATGCATTCAACATGTTACTGTTGGTGTTCCATTTTATGTACCTCGCGCGGCCAAATTTGGCGCGAAAATCCTTTATAACTTCTTTCAGAGAAATGTTCAGCAGAAACGGAAATCAGATTCGGAATCAGCGTTCGAAGGCGAGTGTATTGGTATACATTTCATCTCAAAAGGCCACGGACACTAAGTATCGTTCCCTTGTAAGAAATTTCATTGAAATTCGTTTGAAAAAAATAACGCATGTAAATCAGGAGAGTAGCAAAAGAACTTCATACTGGGCTGGAAGCATTTGGGACTTTAATATTAATGAACGCAATGTCGCGAACTATTCCACTAGAACATCATGAATATTGTCATCATCACCTTGACATGAAGAAAGTGGCAAATTTACATACTGGGCTGTCCACATAACGTCAGATCAGCATTTCGAACAAAAGTTGAAAGGAAACGGTTTTCAGCGCGAGAATTTAGGGCTCGGCACAGCTGGCACCGGGTCAAGCTGATTACTTTTTCGGGCGAAAAGCAAGGGAATATCGTTTTTGTGGTCGAAAAGACACAAAAATTGACGTTTTTTTCAATTTACGTTTCGTTTTAGAAGGGTTTTTTACGTTTAGGGTTTCAAAAAGCAGGGTATCTTTCGATAGAGCAAAACAAATCCTGTAGGATGGTGTACGAGTTCGCGCCAGCTTTATTACATCTCTGTTAGAAACGGATTTGTGAGAAGTTTCAGAAGTCTGGAGTTGAAAAGAGATATATCTTCGTCCAAAACGCACTCACGAAATCTCCCACTCACTCATGCATAAATACCGCTGCTGTATTTTCTGTGCTAGAAACCGAAAAAAATCAAAACTCATAAGTCAAAAAAAACTATACTAAGGTTCACAGACGAGTAGATGTATTAGGTCGTCCCGAAAGTATTTCCGCTTTTTTCAAACAGTCGCCACAGTCCGCAGAAAAACATCCTCAGAAAATCTTGGAATCGTTCGATGCAGTTTTTTATGCTCTTTCAAATGGTCCGCTTCACATTGCAGTTTAACAAACAAGCTCTCAGAAAATAACCAAAAACTGCAACCCATAGTTTTTGCCATAGTCAATTTCGGTATTTTTCTAAATTACTGTAGTAACTTCCTGAAGGAGTTCAAGTGACCTTTAAATAGAGCAAACAAAGTAGGATACAAAACAATTTCCGCTTCTTCCAAATCTTACTTTACAAAATTTTTAGAAATATTTTTTGATGCTATCAAATTCTATACTTCGTCAACTTAAACCTCATAGAGCATCACTCGGGATGCAACTCGGGTGTTATTCGATGCAGCACCTTTTCCTCCTTCAGAAACATGTTTCTTGTTTCTGATTCGTAAATTTTTAGAGGACAAAATCGACAAAATTCATGTTTTTGATGACGCCCCAAGATGTACCCGAAAAATTCAAAATCTGATATTTCGAACCTGGAAACGGTCATTTGTCTTGTAAAATTAGTAATGAATCTTAATCTATCTTTAAGAGTATCGAAAACTGAAAATTTCGTAGAGTTTGACGAGTCTGCGTCTGATATGAGTCTGCTAAAATTCGATAGTGTTGTTTAAAATTTAGTCAAAAAATTATGGAGAGCTCTGGGAAGGAGAAAGAAGTTGTTTTGTATCCTACTTCGTTTGCTCTATCCGCAGGTTACGTGAACTCCTTCGGGAAATTACTACAGGAATTTAGAAAAATACCGGAAATTGACTATGGCAGAAACTATGGGTTGCAGTTTTTGGTTATTTTCTGAGAGCTTGTTTGCTAAACTGCAATGTAAAGATAACCATTTGAAAGGGCATAAAAAACTGCATCAAATGCTTCCAAAACCTTCTGAGGATGTTTGTTCTTCGGACCGTGGCGGTTGTTTGAAAAAAGCGAAAATACTTTCGGGACGACCTAATATATTGCGTGCCTTTGAAATGCGATCGCAAATTTTCAGTCCTTTACAAGCTTTAGTTTTTCAGAATTATCGAAATCAGCTTTCCTGCTAGGGTCTTTTATGTAAAAAAATTTAATATTTATGTTCCGAAACTGGAGCTTGAAAGCTGAAATTTTGCTGCTTTCCTAAAGACGTGTAGTTTGCGTTTACTTGTGTGTGAAAGGCGCAGCCAGTCTTTTTGGAAGCTAATTTTATAATCCTCGGTTTCTGGCACAGATGCAAGTACAGCAGCGGCGTATATGAAATCTTATGTTGAGGGTTTGTGCATGAGTGATTGAGAGGGGTTGTAGGGTTGTTTTGGATAAAGATAGAATCCTTTTTAATTTCATGGAATCTGAAACTTCTTAGACATCGGCTTTTAACCCGAGTTGTATCGAAGCTGACACGAACCTTACACACCAAGTTATAGAGCTTGCTCTGCTCTATCAAACGGTACTCACCATCTCTCAAAACTGAGAAGTTGACTGAGTGCGCTAAAAACTTGAAATTGAAAAAAAAAACTTACGAGACAACCTGATATTGTTTAATTCTGTGTCATAAGGTTCGAAAATGCAATTTTTTGCAACTCGCTGAGTAATATTGCATGGTGGTTAAAGTTAAACTACTTCACGAACTAGAGAACGTTATTTCAGGGTAAGGGACCCATCACCACTTACTGGGTAACAGGATTTGAATAAGTTTGCATAGCGGTAAAGATCTTCTCGAGTTGAAAACGGTCTACGTTATCCATATGATCTCCATTTTACAATAATAAATGTTGATTCTGCATGTTACATATGTTCTACTTTACGAAGATCTCAACAAACACAACGACTCACGGTCATCGATGATCATCATTGCGCAACGTCTTTCAAAGGCAACATGTCATATCAATCTAGCCAACAGATTAATAATCACTGTTATCGATGTTCACACTGCTGTTACGGCAGTTTTCTTTCGCTGTTGTAATGCACTTTTTGATGATAGTAACGTGAGTGATTCCGCACATATCGTCTCTATTTCACTAGCGAAATTGAAAGCAATGGATCGACGAAGTCGTTCGTTGAGGTTGAGCAAAGGAAAAAGGTATGCTTTTCAAAGATTTATATGCTTTATTTTTACTTTGTCCAGTTTACTTCTTTTCGCACTATAATTAATTGTATGTCTGAGATAATAGAGTGGGCCACTTTGAAAATAAGCACGGAAAGACATATAGTTCTCTTTATAAAAGGTTCGAAATAATTAGCTTTGCTTCAAAATGTTCCTTTGATCAAGTGTTTCACATCCGCGGCGAATACGCATGCATACATCGGCTAAAAATAGGCTGAAAATTATGTTCAAAATCATCTCTGCTTTTTTTCTGCAGTACATGCGGTAGAAAACGTGTTTACAATGTTGAACGTTATTTTGATCAATATTTGTGGTAATAACACATGCGCATACTATATTTCCAAAAGAGTATCTTTTCTTGTATCGAGAATCCTGTTTTGAGCGCGAAATTATTTATTACCATAAACACATCATTAGTTATTTCAGTATCTTTCGAGCGGTCAGAGGATATGATTTCTGATTTGCTCTTAAAAGTTTTCTGTCTTAGATCACTGTATAAAAAAATTCAGATGTCTAAATTTGCTTGGAAAAAGGCGATTGATGTTTCTGGTTCGCGTGAAGAATGCGCCAAATTGACCTGAACGTTTGCCGATCTGGTCTTTCCAAAAATCAAATTTGAAAGTCAACTGGGATGTACCTGGAAGCACACTCGTAAATCTTGCCATACGATAGACAATGGCACCATACATTGACGACTAGGACTCGTTTGGATGGTGCTTATGCAATGAACATTGTCTGTCATAACATTTGTAGGTGATTCACAGGGACTAGAGTCAGAGCGCAAGCAATGAAAAAATTCCTTTTGAAACCGTATTGTTATGCAAAAGAAATTTTCGGGATTATTATCTATAGCGGTCCCAAAAATTTCTGTTCGAGGGGGGGGGGACAAAATCTTTGTCGTTAAAGTGGCGTGACGTTAGTCACGAACTCCGCAAAATTTATGATGCTTCCCAAGGTGAAGGTGTTATAAGGGCCTTTGCCCTCGAATGTGTCAAAGAGTATGGGGATCAAATTAATAGTAAGTGATGTTACCACCCGTCTCTCGATGTAGTCGTGACTGTGTTAAACACAGAAATAACCAAACAGAGAAAAGGCAAACAATAGCTCTACCAAGGTCTGAACCGCGATCAGGGCTCAGCAGGAGGTGGCATTTGAGAGTTTTGAAAACGAAGCCCCCTTTGACAATGCAGAAGATTACGAAATATTTGTTGTGGTATTTGTAGAAGCACGGTTAATAATCTATAGCGAACGATGAGTTAACGGAAGTTAGAAATAGGCAAGGAAAATCCGAGATTAAACAGCAACACGTGAAGAAAGGAGGTTTTTAAATAAATCAAAGGCCGTAGCAAAACAGAAGAGGAAAATTTGGGTTATGGTAAGCATTTATAAGAGTTCACTGAAGAAAAGGCTTACCGAAAAAATTTTGGAAAATGGTATGAAGAAGGAAGAAAATTATGACTTTGTTTGACTCCGCGCATCTCAGTTGCTCTCAGATTGCGCGGGAGCAACCTAAATTAGAAAAACACTTGCAGCTCTCTTCATTCGCATAAATTTTTTTATAATTTTTCATACTTTTCTTTTGACCGGCGCCGCGAACGTACACACAAAATTGGTGACTCAATATTGCTCAAAAGTTGTAAACGGACTGATTGTTTATTTTTTGTGCATAAAGATTGTGTTTAACATTTTGGAATTGTGTGCACACGTGTCTAAGCGCGTGTCATGTTTGTACGTGTTAATCGACCTGTCACTGGTGAAACGACGTCGGAGTTGAGTTAAGGACTTACTAAGGGTTAGCTTTGTGCTTGCTAACATTGTACCAGATTTCCGGAAACCACCCCTGGGAACATTACGGGTTCCCTTTTGCTTTTCTCTAAAAAAGATATCCAGCCTGTGAAAGCGCCACCTCTGCTGAGCCCTGACTAAGATATCTTGCTGGCAGATCAGCCCATCACTACTGCACCATATGAAGTGGAAGCTTTCCTACTCCCATAATCAAGGCAACGCTCTCTCCACCCACGTACGAGTGTTGAAGGACTTTTCCACTTTTTTGAAGAATCTTTTGCAAATTTCAAACATGGATTTAAGAATAGTTTTCAATTTCATATACATCTTATACTGGAAGGCGGGGTCATCGAGTTACTTCTGTCATGAAAAAAATTGAAGTTCTTCATTTTCATAAAAACTTAACTAAACTTAGATCCTCTTCTTTTGAAACAGTATCAACAAGAACTGTTTCTCAAATAGGCAGAGATTCACCGCACAGTACATGATTCTTTATGAAGTTTCTAACTGTGGCTTTTCTTGAGCATAGGAGGGAAGAGAATTACTTACTTGCTTATCTTTCACAAAAGTAAATGATAAGCAAAGTAAGTTTGAAGCTCTTCTCACACAAATGCAATAAAAGGAACTTGACAAAAAACATTCAACCTCTCAATAAAGTATCATGAATGATCGAGCACACAACCACTATGTTATCATGCCGCTCCCAAGCTTATCGTGCATTCAAGAAACATCGCTTTTTGTCGAAAATGTCAGTTTAAAGTAGATTTTTAAATAGGGATATCGTAAAATGCCTAAACTCAAAAAAATAGGTTGTCTAGAAAATGATGTTGCACCGCGTACTAGCTTGGCCAATGGATGCCGAAAGTTTGCATGGTGCTGTCCAATAGAGCAATACAAGTTCTACAGGAATGATGTCTACGAAAGTCCCCGGAAATGGGCTTTTCGTGCGAATAAAATGGACTTAGTCCATGCAATGCGATAAGATATCGCATTCGCGAATCCATTCATTCCATACAAAACTTCTTCAGCAAACCTTTCTCCAACTTGTCTCAACCTGTTTACTCACTCTTGCGAACTCATTTCCACTAGGTGGTCGGTATCTGACTAGGCTTCCTAATTTACAGTGTCAGTCACACAAATTTTTTATTCTTTCCCACTTCGTAACACCTCACAAAATACCATTTATTATCGATGGCTATGCTCTAAATTACCTCCTAAAAAATCCATATAGTATCCGGGCCTTCGCTTCTCGAGACTTCTACGGATCTACATTAAATCATATTCGTATGTAGAGCTATCTGCGGAACGCAAACTTTGGAGGACTTGCACTGCAATCTGTGCATCAAAATGCTTATCTTACAGGAAACCTTGTACTACACTACGACCCAAGTTTTTTATGCCATAAAAACTACGAATCTGCATGAGATGACTTCGCAAATTTCCTACTTTAGCTCTTCTTTGTCCCTCAGCATTAATGTTTATATCTCTAAATAGTTGAATGTGTGGACTATTGCCAGTAGGAAATTTTTCACAAAAATATTCTTGCTAGCTAGAGCCATTTCAGTAATTCTTGCGACCAAACTCAAAATCGCGTTTGAAATGCCGTATTTGAGGTTTGGTTTTGCGAGATTAGTCAAAAGATAGAATTATGATGAAACGCAATTTTTTTATTTTCAAATAAATCATGAATTTAGTTTTGGTTGATGATTTGAAGAGCTAACAAACTTTATTTGATTTACAAAAGAATTTTCGCATCGACCTGATATTTGGAAGCATTTGAGTTTGTTAGCGAATATTTTGGTGAATTCAACCTTCCTTCATGATTTTTATAGCGTTTGTATAAGTTTAGAAAGAAACACTTATCTCAGACTTCATAAAAGACATGAAACTTTTCCACCCACTCGCTACCTTAGAATGTTTTAAGGAACACATTCTCAAAACATCGCCATCAAAAATTTGCAAAAAGGTCAAAAATGGGCTTAGTTCCCAGCTCACCTAGCTGCTGGAACTAAAATGGGCTTTCAAGTCCATTTAAAATGGAGGTAAATCCCATTTTGCCCCATTCTAGATGGACTTTTCGCATGATTCTTTCGCAAGCGAGAGCTCAAGTAGGGTTGAATCATTTTCATCACACCGCTTTGCCTCGTGGTTGTAATGAGATATGAATTTTTGGATAACGCTAGCGAAAGCAGATTCCGACCAATTTCTACCGCGAACGAATAAAATGGGGTTGGAAGTCCATTTTCCTCCATTATGGACTTTCGTGGATATCATTCCAGGGTTAACAAAATGGATATCCGCTTGAATCGCCAATCACGTAAGTTGAAAACTGAAGCCAAAATTCAAGCATTCCAAGACATGCCTATGCGCGAGAGATGAAGGCAGTAGCTCGGGAATGGCAATTTTGGGATATTCATCGTTCTTGACTCATTTGGATGAGCTGAGTCTAATATTGTGCTTTGCAGCTTTTCATGATATTAATAACGTTTTCAGGACTTCGAAAGTGCTTTTTCTTTTGTGGGGGTGGGGGGGAGGGAGGAAGGCTGCTAAGCCCGCCCCTTTGTAGAAGGATTGGCGTGAAGCCAATAATCAATCGCCGCCGTGAGGGGTACGGGTCTCGACGCATCCGCACTCCACGAGCCAATCCCTCTTTGAAGGGCGAGCTTTCGCCCCCCGCCCAACGGCATATTTACGTCCGAAACAAAGTTATGGGTATCCTTTGAAGCTACAAAGCAGAACTGAGGTGCACATCCAGGGGGGAACAGAACAATGACTTTCAAAGTCTCCGATCTGCCATGCCTCCAAGAAGTCAAACTGGAAGCCGTTCCAGGGGGATAAACACACTTTCGTTCTTGTACTCACACCATCCCCTTGACACTTGCTAACTAATAATG